GTGTGTGTGTGTGTGTGTGTGTGTGTGTGTGTGTGTGTGTATGTGTGTGTGTGTGTGTGTGTGTGTGTGTGTGTGTGTAGGTACAAAAGCACTATGTACTCTTAATTGCTAAGCCATCTCTCCAGCCCCTGATTTTTCTTCTCTGCATCAGCAGCCAGAAGTTCAAGGCCAGGACAACACTGCTAAGCAAAGGCTGAAAACAATACCCAATCTGGAGTCCAAATGGGAAATTAGACAGCAATTCCTGAAAACTGCTGATGTGAGAAAACCCACGCCTGCTCTACTCACTTTATTTATTCAATTCCATATCAAAAGGAAGCTGAAACAATCATCTTAAAATTTCCTGACTATGAATATAAATGAAAACAAAGTTAGGCAGGGAGTGGAGGCACAGGCCTCTAATCCCAGCACTCACAAGGCAGAGGCAGGCGGATCTCTGTGAGGTTGAGGCTAGCCTGGTCTATGTCTAGTTCTAAGCTAGCCTGGCTACATAGTGAGATCCTATCTCAAACAAACAAGCAAATTTAGCACTGACTAAGAAAACTGAAATTTTCAAGTACTGCATTTTCTCAGTATTTAACAGGAAGTAGATGTGTATCGCAGAAAGGCTACTTTTTGCCTTCAGATAAAGCATGCTAATTATTGCTGTGTGTCCTATTTATCCTGTGTATTAAATTGACATTTTCTTACACATTTTATATATTACCTTATATGAATTGACTATCTTAGAAAACTACACCTCTGAAATTCAAATGATTATTTTGTATTCAAGTGGTAAAATGTAAATTGTTAGCTTGAAATGCTATGTTAAGAATCCAATCCATATTTTATCCATAGCAAAAATTTTATACACACACACACTTAATTTGTTTCCCCCTCTGGCCTCAAATGATCCTCCTGACTCATTCTCCAGAGTGCTAGGATTACAGGTGTACCAGCATGCCCTATTCTAATTAAGTTTTAAATATTTTACCAACATTCCAACATCTGCCCTGCCACTCTGGCATTAAACCAAGAAAGAAAGACAGAAAATAAAGTGAGGATCCCGTGATAAAGAATCATGGTAGAAATCTGACAAAGGTTTACAGCTCAAGATCTAGCTTGTGCACATCTAGCACTGTAACACTGAAAATTGTCCACTTGTCCAGCTCTGGGCCGTCAGCAGCTCTGTAAAGTGGGAGAGTTACTAGGAGTCAAGTGAAGAAACTCATGTTCTCACTCTGCCTTCTACCAAGTGGCCAGCGTTCTGAAGGCATCTAGTTCTTGCTATGGTTCCTAACGTGTTATAAAGTTCAAATAAATGTGTGATTTATACATTTTTGTTTTGAGAAATTAGAAGTCTGTCATCATCATAAGGCTGAGCTGTGTCATGACAAATTTAGATGTTAAAAACCTATTTTCCAGTATCTCAGAAGGTGACTGTATTCAGAGAAAGGGCCTTTAAAGAAATAACCAAGAAAGCTGGACATGGTGCAGTATGTATGTACTCCTTGCACTCAGGAGGTAGGGGGAGGAGGATCAGAGTCCAAGGTGAGTTGAACAACATGGGAGCCTGTCTCAAAACAACAAGTAACTCAGTTAAAACTGAGCTCATTATGACAGGCTCTATGTTTAAGACAACCTGCATCATGAAAAGAGATCAGGACAGAGACATGCGGAGGGAAGAGCATGTGAGGACATGGCAAGAAAGCAGCATTCGTAAGTCAAGGAGAAAGAAACTGTCCATGGGATACCTCCATCTCAGGACTTGGAGCCTGTGGAAAGCACATCTGCATTGTGTAAGCCAGCTAATGTGTGCTGTTTTGTTATGGCAACCAGAGAAGCTAATATGACTACGTATATGTAGAATAACTGGTGCAGCTGAAAAGAAGAATGATTTAGAAATATCTCCCTGTATTTAGCAAGAGGCTCTGTGTGTGCCTTTTAGAGGTTCCTAAGTATGTGGTGTACCAGAATGTGGGAGAAAACTATGAGATCAATAGACAAGTACTACTCTCCTGAGAACTGTTTGCTTTTATTTAAAAAATAAATAAATAAGCACTTCTAGATCCTGCATCAGTTTCTCTTTAACATTCTTGAATCAACTCATTTGAACAACAGATATTCTGGATGCTGGCAAGATGGAGTCTTCAGCCTTAAGAACTGCCTATAAAGCCACAGGTTAACACAATCTACCCAGTGAGTACTCCGCTGTAAGCACCTCTGCAGGTAGCAGCTGTCTTTGTACTTCAGGGTCTAGAGTATTGCTTAATTAAGGTCAGATTTTTGACTGTTCCTTATGGGTTAATTTTATCTTTACATTTTACTATTGTAATTATTAAATATATTGTTATTATCATTCTATACATTTGTGGCATTGAATAAATAATGCAAGTAGATTTCAGTTTCTTAATTTGAAATTAAAATTTGTGCTCAGCTTAGCTTATAAAGAGGAACATAAATGATGCACAGTCAAATGCATTCTACTCTCTGAAGAAGGGGAGATGCAGCTGTTTTTCAGGCATGTCGATGACAGTAATCACAAATTAAAGATAATTTAGGGACTGGATTAAAACATTTTTGTATAAATTTTAAGTTCTTTGCCTTAGTTACTAATTCTAGTGAAATTTTCTGTTTTTTAGATATATTGATTGATAAAGCAAATTCATTTCTTGAGTTACAGTTATTAAAACTTCAAATTTCCCATTTGGAAATTGCTTTCAAAATGCATTTTTTACTGTGCTTTCAAAATGTTTGCTTTAGAGATGGAGAACTATAAATCCCTTTGTGATAATTTCAGTAAATGCTCATATTACATGTCCCCTAAAATATTGAATCTTATGTAGCCAATTAATGTTCATGTTAATTATAATATGGGAGGGAATAATACTATTTACAATGTTGTGATTTTGAATCCCAGAAAAGCCCTCATTAAAAAAAAAAAGGCACTGAGGTCACAAATTTGTAAAGGCAGTAAGTGCATGAGTTTGTTAGGGCTGTTACAATGAAATATCACAGGCTTGATGGAAGAAGCAAGAGAAATTTACTTTCTGCAGCTTTTATAGGCTAGTAATCCAAGACTGAATATGAACAGTTTGTTTCTTCTGGTCTCTCTCCCAAGCTGGCAGATGCCCCCTTTCTACTGTATTTTCAGTCTTTCTGTTTTCCATGTGCATGCCCACACCCTATCTTACAAGAATACCAGATAAATAGAATTAAGGCATTCCCTAATGGGTCTCATTTGTAATTAATCACTTCTTTAAGGGTCCTATATCCAAATATGGTCACATTTTGATGTTTCAGAATTTATGGCAGCATTCAACATAGGGTTCATAATTCATCACAAAATAGTGACAAAGCAAGAACCTAAATCTACATATTGACTTGAAGGTCTATTACACACATGTGCATATCAGAAGAGGCCTGTCATAGCCTCTCTTTTAAGGTTGATTCCTTATGGTGTTCACAGAGAACAAGACAATAAGTTAATATACTTGAGTTTTGTAATG